TCCACCCAAGGTCCTAGGCTTCCACCGGCTAAACCGGGTGAGGTTAGTGCTCTGTAAAGCGCATGCGCGAATCTGGCTTTTTGGATGTTGACAATACAGCGTTTTCACTCTGCTACTCCGCCACTAATATTCGAATATGCAATAGCAATTTTTTTTCACGTGTAGTATAGAAATTTGTAGTAAGATACATAATGCGGTTATAATAAAATATTGTGCGATTATTTTCATATAATTAAAATTAATATGTATTTATTTTTTAGAAAGTACAACGGAAGTAGCGCATTCACTGCTTCTAATGACGGCACGCCACTGTATTCCTGTATGATATTTTTTATTCATATGAAATTCTATTTTATTATCTCATTCCGGAATTTCCCGGGCTTCCGGGAAAATAAATTATTTTTCCCGTAATCCCGCTGGAGGCAAATTTCCCGGGAAATGAGAAACCCTAACCATCACTGACGCGCAATTAACTGATTGCCCCTGGAAGTAGGCTTTTTACAGAAACATGCTTCCCTATCATCAAATGTCACGGCACATCACTGTAGTTATACAGAGTGTTCGGAAAGTCACTGTGCACTTATATATTTATTAACAGACAAGTTTCAATATAGAATACAGGAGGTAAATATGAATGACAATTATAAACAATGTTGAAAGTGACCTCCTTTAGCATCAATACAGGTTCGGATCCTTCTTATTTTGTTTCTAAACACCGCTGTCGGTTGCTCGCTCGAAAGACTGAATGAATCGAGTCATCCAGTGTACGCGGACGATCTCGATACACTGCAGAATTTACTGCTCCCCGTAGATTAATTACTGTAAAGTCTGGTGGGTTTAGATCTGGTGAGCGTGGGACCACGCGTTTTTCGAAATAATGCGAAAACAAAATACTATAATATAATATAATATAAGAGTTAGAAGTACAAAAGAATCTAATTATCTTAATCTTTGCTGTTGTTACATTTTGTTGAGCAATGCCGGGTTCATCTGCTAGTATATATATTTGATAATTTCAGAAAAATTTCACAATAAGAAATGGTTCATTTTCCATTAAAAAAAAAACAAAAACAAGAAATGTGATTCAAATAACTCGCGATTTATTTATTAATGTTGAATTTTCGTATTAAATAATAATGAATTTCAAGTTAGAGTGTAATTTTACGCATTCAAGTTAATTTTTTAAAACACGAATTACCTTTCAGGTAGAGGAAAATGTGATGTAACTATTTACCCGTATTTTTGTATCCCACAATACCTCGCGCGTACGTGAAGCATTTGGTTTGTGTTCGCTTGAATCAAGTAAATTTATTTGAAAATGGAATCTACGCAAGTAAAAAAAGAAAATGTTAAAGATATAAGTAGTGTTAGAAAAAGAAGAAGCGCTAGAATATCGCTTTCTATAGGTAAATGAAATTTTTGATTAAATGTCAAGTGAGATTTGTTTTTGTTTACTGCTTCACACCGTAGTGGTGTTTGTTATCTCGACTGTCATTGGTCGATCGGATTTTTAAATTTAGATCGATTTTTAAAATACTAGTTTAAATATTTGTTATTGTTATTATCATTAATTAATATATTATTTTCACTCGTCAGTTTTTACATATTAAAAAATAATATATTTATTTATTATGAACATTTCTTAAAAATTTTAAACAAATTTCACATTATTTAGACTTACTTGCACTGTTTAATGTTGATAATTTTTATTACATAAATTATAAATAATTAAAAAATAAAATTGCTAAAAATAAAAACCGCTGTTTTGTTTATTTTGGCATAATCATTTGTAATAATTACAGATTTGAAGTGATTTAAAGTGACATTTAATCTTATATATTGTAATTGAGGGCAATTATATTTAATGCTTTTAATTCAATTACGTATAATTAAATAGTTTAAACCTCTTTAGTTATTACAAATGATTACAATAAAATAAACACAAACGTTTTTATTTTTAACATGTTTTTATTTTTTTTATCCTTGATTTATACCTAAACAAATTACTGCATATATTCTAAGTACAATTTATAAACCAAATAATGCCAAATATGTATAGGCTACATATATGGATATTATTCTCAACTATATGACAAATAAATGAATATATTTATAATTATAACAATAAATTATTCAAATTTATAATCATAATGAAGCATAACTTATTTTCTTATCATTAAAATTTAATTATGTTACTAATAAGAATTTTTTTTGAAAGATTTTATTACATCAGCAAAAATTTGTCCATTGTTGATCCCCTTTCCCACTGTCACCAGTCATTAGAAATCAAGGTAATTCCCTTCTCCAATTATGTCATCAGAAGTTTAAACCATTTGCAAATCTACAGAAATTATTTTAAAACAATTTTATGATGGCTGGGAGAAAAATAACTTATCAGATGAAAGCTTGCATTGTCAAAAACTCGTCCTCCTTCTCATATCATCAGCAATTGTCAAATGCAAATGAAATTTCCCCCCTCAGAAACTGCTAATGTAATACTTGAATGCCCATAATTCTTTAATTTTTTTATAAACAATACTTACTATTAACAAACAATAACATGCATTAAAATAAAAATATAATAGGAAATAAAACAGCTCAAAATTAATATCATGTTATTACATAATCAATTTTTTTTATAATCAATTAAAAATTTAACTAGAACTACTTTTCTTTTTAATAACTGTAATTAATAATGTAATCATCTGTTTAATTTAAGATGAGAAAGAAAGAAAACACACATATTATGAAATAAGAATAAATGAATTTCATTAATATTTTTATTATCATCAATTTTTATTCTTATTTGTTTCTTTGATAATTTTCTAACTAGTTTATATATAAATAATTTTTTATCCAAATAGTATAAATGTTTTAGATTGATTAAACAGACCGTTTTTTATATGCTACTGTTAAAATTTGAAGTTTTTCCAAACTGTAACAAAACTTTCATTAGAATTACTATCACAAACATATTTATCTAGTAGTATGTTACAAAAGTAGATTTATCATACTTTTGTGGCACTCTTTTTTACTAACCATTGAAGACTTATTTTAAATTTTTTTATTCAAATTGACTGAAAACCAACAATTTCAACCTATTTAAAGTGTTCCACTATTTTCAAATTCATTTATTAATGAGTATTTATGTAAGTTATTTTTAGTAGCTAAGAATCTACATATTATATTAGTCAACAATGATACTATGCTATGCAAAACACATGCTATATTTCTCATCTATATTTTATTTTCATACTGAATGACAAAGATAAAATGTAGATGAGAAATATTAGCAAAATGTTTGGAAACAATTTAATAATTAATGGTAGTATATAATTTATATCAAAAAATTTTACAATATTCCATAATAGCTTTGTTAGGTAAAACATGATAATAGTTTGTTTTTGATGTAGTAGGAATATAACAATATAATGAGAATAGAAGACATCTAAAATAAAGAAATTTCTATTTTTATATAATATATGAATGAAACTGTAGAAACATTAAAAACATTATAACAGTTTCCTCATGTAATGTTGTTAATTCCATCCTAAAACAATCGTATTCATTAATTAAAGTTCAAGCATTTGATTACATTATATAAGCATTATATATACAGTCAACCCCCCTATAACACGGTAGATATGTTCTGTTCTTTATGAATCCATTTTGTACGAGTCCTTACCAATCACAGCTCGGCATGTATGCACTTTATGGACTATGGCTGTTTGAAAGGTTTACTTCCATAAAATTAATCAATTCCTGGACTAATTCGACTCAACATTTCCAAAATACGTATATTTTTTAGGGAATAATCTGTATAAACTATGCTATAAACAAAAAAATTGTAGGATTACTTACCAAGTGTGCACCGTTCGACGTCACCATTGCTTAAGCTTGTTTTCGTTGCGGTGCAGCGCACCAAAACCTCGGCCGCAATTTCTGATAAGTTATTTTTCTTTGAAAAATTCGTTGAACTTTGGAGACATCATTAATATAAATAATTTTTATGGCCATTGAATAAGAAATGTTTCTTTCACAAGAAATGTATAAAATTAGTGTTGTATTAGACTTACAGTACCTAACTTACATACTGTACAAACGATAGTAAACTCAACTTACTCGCCTGAACTCTCCATAGCATGGCGCTGGACAACGGAAAGTATATATATATATAATTATAATAAAGTTGCAATAAATTAAGTTAATATATAATTATATATACAGTACCTAATTTATATACAATTTATATATAATACTGTATGGACAATAGTAAACTCAATTGATCCGCCTAAACTCTCCGTAGCGTGGCACTGGACAGCGGAAAGTAGTTCGGCTGCCCGATGACATTTTACCAAATTATAGGAGTTTTTTTTACCAGGTTTGTACAGATACCGTCGCAATTTTTTCACCGTCATATAGGAATCCAAACTATAGGAACCCGTGTTATAGGGGGGTTGACTGTATAAGATTGTGGTTTTTGCATTGTTGTTGCTTTTATCTTTTGTCGCTGTGAGTGGAAGAAACGAACGAGACGAGATCGTAACAAAAACTAAACTTTTATTCTCCTCACGTACTTGGTACAGCACATGTCTCGACGATGTGGCTAACAAAGACAACTGGTTTTCGACGGTCTTGTGGGGTGAGTTCAAATTTATTCCAGGAAGTGATGACTCATACACCCGGGGTAATTGCTTGTATTTTACAACCGTTACGGGTACAGATGCGAAGGACGGCGTTCGCCACAAGATAATGAAATATACAAGAATTCTCTATAATTATTCTTCAGTTTACATAACAGTATAGAGCAATTTTATACACCTTATATATTAATACAATATACAAGAATGCTTTCAATTAATTTTGAAATATCTTTTAATTTCAGAAAATATGATACAAGTTATAATATTATTGTATTTATGAATTCATTACTTGATATTAAAATTATAATTAACATTGTTAAAATATAATCTGATAATATTATAATATATATGTATTTAAATTGTAATTCAATATGTTTATTTAATTATTTTTTATATATAAAATTAAAATAAAATATTAATGGATTGATATACATATTAAGTTTTGAAGCTGTGTATTCAAAATATTTGTAAATAATTTCTACATTTTTGTTTTGTAAGCATTATACAGTGCAGTTAAACGAACACTAGGCATCATTTCATCCTTTTATTTGCTCTTCTTAGTTTCAACTAAGAGCAAATAAATGGATGAAATGATGCCTAGTAGTAAAAATGTAGAACGACATGGTTTCAAATTGGTACAAATTTCATTATTTCAAGATTATATGAATGTTTTATTTTTCAAAATATTTTTTTGGAATATTTATTGAATACAACTAAAATTGAATATACCGGCAATGCTTTTTTAGGTCTTCATACATTTCATATTTGGATTCTGTGTATTATTTAATACTTTTCTATCATTCTAAAATAGTTTTTATGTAACAAAAATGGAGAGGTTTTAATTTACATTTTTAGTTTTTTTAAGTTTATTGATAAATATAGTATACCAGTACATTTATATGTGTTTAAAATATTCTAATCATGTTTCTACATATTTATTATATTCTATATATTTTTCACTTTATTTTTATTCATGATTTATACTTATTTACTGTTTTTACATTTTATAGATTATAGATTTTATATTTTATAAAATTTAAATTTTAGAAAGTTGTTTTTGTATTTGATTAATTATTTTTTCAATTAATATAATTTTATATAAATAAATAACATAAGATAGATTTTAGAAATTCATTCTATTGATTTAGTTTTATGAGTGATGCTTTACCAACAGCTGATAAACAAAAGCTAAAAGTAGAATGTATAATGTTTTTTTTCTTTTTAATTGTGAGTACCTTTGTTTAAGTATTATTGTGGAACTTGTTCAACTTTTTTATAGTAAATAAGCATTCTGAATTCAAATCTAGTAAGTACCACTGTCAAAAATAAAACAGTAAATTTATCTATAAACCATTTATCTTTCTAATGACTTTTATATTAATGGAAAAATTTTGATTTTTCAGTAAGAATAAGGAATTTTATTTTGTATTTTTTGAAATTCCCTATAACTAGTTAAATTTTTTGAAATATACTTTTTATGCATGTTTTATTAAATTTATCCTAAATAAAATATTAAAATTTACTTATTTTAAAAACAACAATTTATTACTAGTAGTTGATGTTTGTAAGGTGACTACAATTCTGATTTACTTGGAATATTCCTGCAATATGTGTTCACTGTTGTGTAATTATATTAATTTCTAATTAATTCTCTTAATTAATTTCTATTAATTCTCTATTGTTACATAATTATGTAATGTTCTTTAATATAATATCTTAGATATGATTTAAAAGACAAATTATTACAAGAAAAATACATATTA